GCTTACTAGAAACTGAAAAAAAAATGAATTTCTGTAGTTGAATAGATTGTAGTGATCAGGTTGAGGAAATTCACTGGATATCTATCTTTATGTTACATGGTACCCCGAATAGACTTTTAAAGTAATAGGCTAGACTGTAAAACTATGAAAAAATAGACTGATAGAGGACTTAATGTGAAAAAGGTGGGCAGGCTTAGTAGTCCAAAATGTTTATATATATAATGTACTCCATTCCAGAAGAGCTTCTGAAGTCTGAGAAACTGGCCCTTACATTTAGTTTTTTCAACATTTTCTGAGCTGATTTTGTCTTAATCTGTGAAATGTTTTTAAGTATGGTATATATTTTATACACTACCATTCAAATGGTACTAAGAAAAGGCTGTATGTATTTGATCAAAAATACAGTAAAAACAGTGATATTGTGGAAAAAATTATTACAATTTAAAATATCACTTTACTATTTTTATATATTTTAAAGTGTAATTTATGTAATGGCAAAACTGAGATTTTTTTTTGTGTGTGAACTTCAGCATCATTACTCCAGTCTTTGGTATCATATGATCCTTCAGAAATCATTTTAATATGCTGATTTGATGCCCAAGAAGCATTCCTTTTTATAACAATGTTGAAAGCAATTCTGTGCTTATTATTATTTTTGTGGAAACTGTGATACACTTTTCCAGAATTAAAGGACAGCATTTATTTGAAACGGAAAACTTTTGTAACATCATAAATGACATAAACATTATAAATAGGTTGATTTCCTACACACTTTTGCTCTGTTTGTTTGAGTGCCCTGACATAGAAACAACCAGTGGAGTTTGCAGGACCGCCTGTTTGGCTGACCAGTGACAGATGTGCAGAGTATTTGAGATGGTCCTCACTGCAGAAAACAAGATCCAGGGGGTGTGGTTGGATCCAGATCCAAGTCCTCCCACCTTACATATACTTAAACCTACCCGTCTCCACCCCCTGATCACTAAACCCACCCATCTACCCATCTCCACCCCTAACCCTACCAATCTCCACCCCCTAGATGTAGATCCAACCCCGCCCCCTGGATCTTTGTTCTGCAGTTCTTAGAATTGACAAGACGGTTGACCCTGAGTGGTCAGCTAAATATCTACAGTGGATCTAAAATATTAATAATTAATCATAATTAGTTATGGTTAATTATTCATATTTCCCCATGAGCTAAATTCGCTACAGAGGGCTACTGGAGTATCTGAGGAAACCTGTCTGAAAACAGATGTTAATAGTGGAGATAAATTACACATTTCACTTTTAAGGAAAAAAGTTTGTATTCCGGTTCTTCTTTTTTATTATTATTGCATTGACTGACACTGTCATTGCACCATTAATGTCTTTTTGCCACAGAATTCTTTGAACACTATTACAAAAAATAAAAAATAAAACTGAATGTTGAGTGCTATCTCGATGTGCACTTTCGTTCCTTCACATTATGCTCTGTCTTGAATTTTGAATACAGTCTCATCATTAATTTTTTTCTTGCTTTCAGTCTTGCATATCTGCAGAATGACTTGAAGGGGCCTATATGGGTTCACTGAGATGTATTTCCTCCTACAGAAAGCCCATTCTCATATCAGTATCACAGAAATGTGTTTTATGCCAGTCCGTTTAGCTCTCAGACATCTTGAGCATGTGCTTAATAAGACTTCACAATAGATCCATGGCCTAAATAAAAAGGGATAATGGACATATAAAGAGAAAAATAGTGAGAAAGAATGGGACAGAGGCAGGGTTTATAGAGGTATCAGGAGAGGTTGTGTAAAAGAGATAAATGTTAAAGACAAGATAGAGGAGACACAGAGAGACAGAGAACACCTCTTGGTGGTTGTGATCACTATTATGAAAGTTGTTCAGGCATCATAGTTTCACTCGTGTTCGCAAACATCCTTTGCATCCTTTGCTTGACACCTCCGAATGAGAATTCATCACTTGTTTACTGTGGCTCGGACTCGTCTCGTCGTTGGCAATTCAAACGGTCCCTTTAAGCACTTTTTCTCATTTTACAGTCAACATGGAACTTTTGTAATCTAATGAATATTTAAATGGACATTCAAAAAGAAAAAATATGAAAGAACTTGATTTTATTTATCAGGAATTGATAAGGAGTAGTGGTTTCATGAGGGGAGCGCTTGGTGAAGTCAATTTAGGTCGATGCAAGTTATTACGAAAACATTTTTTCTTGTTATGAGACATATTAAAGTAATATCACACGAGAAAAAGTTTGTCATCTCAAAATGTGTGTCAAGCCTCTGTTACGGTAAAACTATAGCAACAATGGTGGTATGAGAGAATATTGATGAACAGGGCCGTGCACAGTGGGGTGGCCCGGTGGCTAGAGCCACTGCCCTTTTGCCCTCATTGGCTGAGGTGCCCCTCTCACTCTCTCACTTTAATTATTGTAGTTAAGTATATTTCCCATTATAATCACTTGTCTTGATACTAGTAATCTATAACTGTCACGTTTATGTTCCGTGTTTCTGTTCTCTCTGTCGTTTGATCTAGTTTTCCCTCATGTTTTCCTTTGCCCATATTTGGTCTTCCTGTTCCTGTTCCCTGATTGTGTTCTATTTGATTCCAGGTGTGTCTCGTCTTCCCCTCATTAAGTTGTGTTCTTAAGGAGTGTTTGATTCAGAGTTCTTTGTTCGGTGTCTATTGTCATTACCTTGTTCCACTTTGTCTGCCCTTTTTGAGTTTGTTCTTAAAGTCTGTTCAATTGGAAGTTTATCTCCTCCTCTCCTCGTTTCCCTCCTATACGAACCGTGACAGAAACACATCATATTTTATTAAAACCATATTAATAGTAGGCCAATAAATAGTTAAAAAAATAATATAAATGTTCTAAATGAGTTGTTTATTTGTATATAATATAGATTAATGCTGTAAAATATTAAAATAAATATCTAATACTTATAGGGGAGAGTGGGCTAAGATGAGCCATTTTTTACTTATGTGGTCCTCAAGGGAAAATGACACAGAAATACAAATCTATCTATCCTATCCTATCCTAATGAAAGTATTCCTATCATTTTAAATGATCAGAATGTATCTATGACAAAGGGTTCTAAAAATATGGCTTCTTATTAAAAAAGTGTTCTCATGGCACAGTTTGCCCCGGGTTAGGGGTAAGTTGACCCGAGTCGAGTCAGTGGGTAAGATGCACCATCTGGGTGTAAAATGACCATCTGGCCAAATCTGATTCAAACCCATGTGAAATAAATAACCATTTAAAAACTAATTTAATAATTTCCTTTTACAAACAGTCATATTTCTTTTCATAAAGTTATCTTTAACAACATAAAACCAACCAAATGTTTACATTTCATCTAATTTGCATTTCTGAAACAATATGTTGAACACCAAAGTTGTAGCCGTCCTAAAAACAGACTAAAAAGAGAGTTTGTTAGCCATTAGTGACTACAGGTAGGAAGAAATATCTGATTATAATGTGATGAAAAGCATTTTCTGGTTCTTATCAGAGAAGGATTTGGTGCACTTGTACACTGTCCCTATCAAATAAACTACAAATAATATGTATATATGATAACTAAACCAGTAATATCACATTAAAACACCAGTTTATAATTCAGAGATTTAACTTAACTACAGTGCCTTATGGTGGGTTAAGTTAAAATGCTGACTCAATTTACCCCACAACATTTGGCTCACGTTGCCCCATAGCTGCCATTTTGGAAAAAATTGCTACTGTAGCTTACCAGTTCAGGCTAATATTTAGCTAAATGACTGGCATAGTTTTATATGTTGCTGAATCACCTATATGTATCATAAATATTTTTAGACCTGGATAAATGTGCTTTGATGTAACAACCATTACATCTGTTATGCTAAAATTTTACTTTGACAAGCCAAAAAGTTTTTAAAGTAAATGGGTGCCTTCCATTACCCCCATGTGTTTCTGCTTTTCACTGTCTGGCAGAAATGATGGGTGGTTCCAAATACATTGTCACATGACAGTAAAAGTGTACAGTTGCCAAGATATAGGGCATGGGTAAACTTACCCACTGGCTCAACTTACCCCACTCTACTTCCATTGAAGATGAGGCAGAAGCAGGCTCAGAGAGTGAGGGAGAGACCACTCTTATCAAAACATCTACAATAAAGTCTGAAATTATTACAGATTGTGCTGTCTTCTCTTTTAATTGTACATTTGTAACAACTGGATCATTTGTATTAACAAGCACCCACCCCCCTAGTGCCCCTTTTTTGGTTTGGGCCACTGCCCCTCAAAATGTCTGTGCACGGCCCTGTTGATGAATATGTTAGATTCCTGAAGTTAGATTCCTTAACTGTTCAGTAAACAAGTTAATAATTAATAATAATTTACATTTTACACACAGTATTTTCACATTAGAACAGATGCGGCCATTTGTAAATTTGTGTCTGGCTTCCGGTGTCATTGCTTCCAGTTATTTTAAGTTGTACAAAACTGCTCGTTGTGCTGCTTGAAACTGCAAACTGGAATTTTTTTCACCATATTATTTATAAACACACTGGTTTTACTGTTTACTGCACTTTGATATTCTTCTAGTTGTTTCTCTACAGCGGCTAATGATGAACGTCTCGCACATTCACAGAAAATGTGTTGAAAATAAGGTGGATTGATAGTTTCGAAAGTGGTTCCAAACAAAGTCAGTGCAGATGAAGGTTACAACACACAGAAGTGGTGTTTCTTTAAAATGAATCAGAACAAATCGCTTTAGTGCGTGACTCCATGATTCACTCAAATACAGAATGAATCATTAGTTTTGAAAGAAATGGTTGAATTAATTGAATTAACCGACGAACGTCTCACTTGTAAAGATAGTCACTTGGCGACACCTACTGGCGTAATAATGTAACCCGCAGAAACCAGCATTTTCCCCAAATTAATATATATTTTCATAAATTGATGAGAAACAAAAATGTCACAATTCTTACAAATAATAGCAGTTGTGCATGTTATATCCCCTCAGCTTTTTGCCATCTTTGCATTTGCAACATGTGGAGGCTACTCTGGGCAACTGCGGGTTAGTGTGGACTGCATCAACAAGTCTGACAGCAACCTCAGGATTGGCATCAACTTTGCTTACCCATTCAGGTAAGGCTAACTTAAAGCACCCCTGCATATTCTCTGCAGAGCAATAGAGAGAGAAATTTACCTGGCTTTAATTCAATACTCTAATACGCAGGAGCATTTGATTATGTGGTAATGGTTTTATCTTTATATTCTCTATGTGTGCTGTCAGTTACAAGATTGTCTCTTGGTGAGTAAGAGACAATCTTGTTTTAAACAAGACAGCATTAGAGTTTTTTTTTTTTTAATTTGTTGATTGTGCTAATTGGGCAGATGTTCGGGTTCAATATAATACTCAGATATTGTTTCATTCACCATAGCTTCATACACATGTCAAAGTTGATGATAAACACCTCTGTTGCTATGTCTGACATTCTGTCCTGATCTATATTTACTGGTACATTATTTATATATACATACATACATACATACATACATGTCTAAAATGGGTGATAACAAATGTGTTGTTTAAATAATACTTTCATTCTAATTTATTTCAATTTTAAATGATTTAAAATTATTCTGTAGGGTTTTTTAAACAAATAATTAAAATTACATTTAAAACAAAGTTTTATTTTATTTTTATATTGTGATGTTTTGTATGCAGTATACATAACGTTATCAAATAAAAAAGGAGAAAATACTGAATCAGTGAGCCTAAGTCGTTCATTCAGTGTTTTCACGACCTACGCCATATCTTCTTCCATTTCAAGTATCTCACAGTATTCTCTTACAGTTCTGTTTTAAATATACATTTTATTCAGCAATTTCAGAGATGAGAAATTCTTTCTGAGAGACAGAAACACACTCACTCATTTGTGCTCAATAAATGAATTGGCTGACACATACACTAGAATCACACATCAGGTCTGTCTTCATTGTTATCCATTGTGGTAATAGAATTACATACAGTCATATGCTGTCAATTTAAAGAACAGAAGACAATAGAGTTCTGCAATGAGTCACCACTATAATTCTGCATAGACTGGAAATGTTTTTGACAGACTGGAATTCTTTTTTTAGTCTCAAATACTATGTGTCCAAGTTGCTGTTGTTGTTGTTTTGCCCTAAAAGGTCAAGAACACACACACACACACAAGATGCCCACCACAATGTGATGCTTTGAAGTAGCCCTCAGGTCTCACTGTATTCACTAGAGCTGAGCTTCAACTTCATAGCTATCAAAGAAGGACAAGGCAGTAATAGACAGGAACTAAATATCTTACTATCCAGTGTTCTTCTCCTTTAACGTTATGCTAGACTGATGCTGACACTATAGAATAGCTTACCTAACTGCAAATTGTATAAAAAAGTATGACGTTTTTGTGCCTTACATGAAACAGGTTGAACCGGGTGGAATTTGACGTGCCGATGTGTGAGGGAAGGAGGCAAGAGCGGCTTTACCTGATTGGAGACTTTTCCTCCTCTGCCGAGTTCTTCGTCACCATTGCTGTGTTTTCCTTTCTGTACTCCCTGCTGGCCACTGTGGTCTACATCTTTTTCCAGAACAAGTACCGCGAAAACAACCGTGGACCTCTCATTGTGAGCCCTGGTGTTATTTTAGACGAGCTAAATGCTTGAATCTTTGTGGACTGTCAAAGCCTCGCAATTAGAGAAGATGAGCGATTTATACTGTAAAAGACCCACATTAAATGTAGTCCTACTTAGCATACAGTAATTCATCCTTGCATGTAAATCATTGTTGTTGAGTGTAGAGCTGAAGTGTGTAATTCTTTTAATGTAAAAAAAAGTTCTTCATATTAGCAACCGAATTTGATCAGAAATACATGTGACATATGTACATCTTGATGCTCTGCAGGACTTCATAGTGACGGTGGTGTTCTCATTTATGTGGCTGGTGAGCTCATCTGCCTGGGCTAAAGGTCTTTCAGATGTAAAGGCGGCAACTGATCCAGATGAGGTGGTTCTGCTCATGTCTGCATGTAAGGTGCAGACCAACAAGTGCAGCTCAGTTTATGGACCCAGATGGTCTGGCCTGAACACATCTGTGGTAAGGCATGAGATACTCAGATTACACCAACCGAGCCACATACATGTATTTCAGTGTCTAATCTTTAGTTTGCAACCCTTAATAATGATACGAAAAAAAATCACATGCTGCATGTGATTTGACAAATTCAAAATATATATATTTGGATTTATTTAATTTAAATGTGTTTAAGACTTGTATGTATTTTATTAGTTATTTTAAAATTAATACACTACCATTCAAATTTTGGGGCCAGTAAAACAATTTTGTAAAAGAAATTAAATTTAAAAAATGCTTTTGTATCAAGGATGCATTAAATTGATCAAAAGTGACAGTAAAGACCTTTACATTGTTACAAACAATTATATATAATATATATATATATATATATACAAATTTCTTGAGCACCAAATCAGTGCAATGGAATGATTTCTGAACGCTCGTGTGAAAAATATATTAAAAATTTTAAATATTAAATGTCAATTGTAATTATAATATGCAATATTTAAATTTTAATCTTTAACACATTTAATAATTTAATACATTTTAATCATATTTAAATATTTAATATTTTGTACAACTGCTGAATTTCTTCGATTTTACTCAAAAGGCTTTGGAATAAAACTATGTTCATCTTGTATTCATCAAGGCATTTTTTGCACAGGTATTCGGTTATTTGAACTTCGTGCTTTGGGCTGGAAACATCTGGTTTGTGTTTAAAGAGACTGGATGGCACAAGGGAGGTGCAGCAAGGTACCCTGCCTCATCCTCAGAAAAACAAGCCACGGCCTTCAACCAGCAGGTCTACAATCAGGGAAGCTTTGATCAATCAGGAGGTGCTTTTACTGGAACAGGGGATTTCGCCCAATCAGAGTACAGCCAGGTGGGAAATTATGGTGGGCCCATCTCCTACACCAATCAGTAACACCCTCTGCCTCTTTGTAATCCCCTAACACAGGGGACCAATTTCTAAGGGCAAAGTTCAACACTGAGCACATGAGAAGAAGGAAAAGATTAGTTTAACAGATAGATTAAAATGCATCCTTTATTTCTGATCATATAAATAAATAAAGGCTTGTTTGTCCAGAATATTCATATGTTTTTAAAATGAATGACAGGGATCCTCGGATGTATGGTTTTTGACTTTACCTGTTTACTGAACAAAGGTCATTACATCCAAATGTGAAACGCAATGCAATTTTAATGGAGTTTTAATGGAGATGGTGCTCCTGAAGGACAAGGAAAAATGAAGAGTTTTCAAAAGTGACATTACATCACTATGACCAAACGTTTTTAGAGACAGTCCATTTGTAATTTAAATAGTATTTCTGCTGAACCGACTCTTTCCACAACTTTAAAATGATTTTTATTTGCCAAATTCGAATTTGACGAATAATTTACTTCCAGAATGTGACATATTTGACATAATGGAGTCATAACGAATATGAAGTTGCTAAAACAATAGCTATTCAGTCACTGGCTAACACCATCCACTATTGAACAACACAGGAAAGTAATTTCAGAGGCAGAACAAATGATAACATTTTCATCAAAGGTTACAAAGACAAACCTTTTCAAACTATTCTTTTAAATAACATTTACAGATTAATCAATCATAATAAGAGCATGAATGTGCATTAAGAAAGTAAATGCAGTCTGTTTTGATTTCATGTTGACTTTTAAAGGAATAGTTCAAGAAAAAACTCATCCTCGGGCCATCCAAAATATTGATGAGTTTGTTTTTTTATCAGAACAGATTTGGAGAAATGTAGCATTATTTAGAAGTGAATGGGTACCGTCACAATGAGAGTTCTAACCGCTGATAAAAACATCACAGTAATCAACAAGTAATCCACACGACTCCAGTCCATCAATTAATGTCTTATGAAACGAAAAGCTGTGTGTTTATAATAAACAAATCCATCTTTTAGATGAATGTAACTTTAAACTGTTGCTTTGAGTCCTCTCTCCACCATACTGCTTTCTCCAGTGGAAAAAATCATCTTGTCTAAATCAGGAGAGAAATATGCACAGATCAATCACCGTTTACAAGTGAAAATGATTCGAAACAAATATGTCGGTGGATTTTGATGATGTGAGTGGACAACAGGGGATGGACTTTTTTAAGTGTTATTATGGATTATGGACTAGTATTTTGGCCAGAAGCAATGCTTTAAAGTTAAAACAGCTCAATGATGGATTTATAACTTAAAACACATAGCTTTTCACTTTCCAAGATATGAATTAATGGACTTGAGCTGTGTGTATTACTTGTGGATTATTGTGATGTTTTTATCAGCTGTTTGACGGCTGACGGCACCCATTCATATACATTGGTGATTATGTGATGTAATGCTAAATGTCTTAAAATCTTTTCCGATCAAGAAACAGACTCATCTACATCTTGGATTGCCTGAGGGTGAGTAAGTTTTTGGGTGACCTGTTCCTTTAAGTGTACATGTCCTATAGGTGATGCAGGTGTTTGTAATTTACAGTATATAACAAGAGATTTCTGTTTTCATTTGTCAGTATAGATGTTAAATTACTGTTTGTCTGGTTTCCCCAGAATATTGTCATGCTAGTGGTCGATGGTTGGTGTTTGCACTACTGTGTTTCCACATTTATATGGCTCTTTAATGTTTGCACTGTATTGATGAACTGCATGAAGTTGTGCCATATTACCCTTGTTTAAGTTTGTATATAATTTCTCTCCTCACTAACAGGGTCATATCATCTGTTCTGTGACCTTTATTATGATCACAACGTGATTGAAATACAATCAACACTTAATTATCATGCTTTCTTATGTGTTTTCTTCTTCCTCAACTGTTCCTTTTAAATGCATGAGGCTTTATTAACCACAAAGGTTATAGAGCAAGACAAAAATCAAACAAACAAAAAAATTTCAATACATTAATGTTCTTGTTCTGATTGCTTTTCAATGTGAATGGGTTTCTGTCTTGATATACAGTACTTGCATTTTCGATCAGTGGGTGTGAATGCTTTGATGCATTTTGTGCAAGGCAATAAAGATATTGTACATTCCTCTAGACTGAGCGCACTGCAGTGTTTTCTGTTCTAGGAACCATTATCGTATTGATGAATCCTCAGTCCACAACAATGAATCAGCTGTTTCAATAATATGGAGTTATACAAAGGCATTTGATGACTATCTGACTTCCATTAAATTAATAGACATCGTCAGTAATCAGATCTAAATTGATCAGGAGCAGGCAATTGCTCAGACAGTGCAGTATACAAGTCTCTCTGATATCTTATTTCTCATGGACCTTGCTTATATAACTAAACCTATACTGAGAAATATTCACTGGATAAGAAATTTGACAACTTGCGACTGTACAGTCTTCTATGAAAAATCCATGCATTCAGAATGAATAGATCCCTAGGTCAATCTTTTTTTTTTTGTCAGGATCTATTAATTTATTCAAAAATATATTCAAAATTAAATTTATATATGCAATACACGATTCTATGATGAACATGTTTTTTTAAGTTCTTAATCAAATATATTTTTATATTTTGGGGGGTCAGAATGAAGTCAAAATATCAGGGTGATACAACTGTCTTGATATCATAGTGAAGAAAAAGCCTCATTAAAAAGAGTGAAAATTTTGAAAATAAATTGACTAGTTATTAATTAGTTATGTACAATATTTTATTATTATTTATTAGAAAAGAAAAACATTTAAGCACTGTGTGTGTGTGTATATATATATATATATATATATAAAAATAAAAATATCAAGAATATCAGATGTGATGTGGTGTGACTCCCTTAGAACCAAATGATATTTATTGCTTAGAACTCTCCAGAAATAGATTTTTTAAATCTTTTAGTGGACACTCTTATGTCAATGACCTTGCTATCAACTAGTAAAAAAGCGAAATGAGAAGTTTACTTGCCAAAGATGCAGGCTGCAACATTTCGAGCTCAGAAATGTGACTTATTCAGAGAGACAACTAAAGCTCAGGTACTTCACATAGTGTAATGTGAGTATCATTTTTCATCAGACTGCCTTAGTGGGTGAATGGATCACCAATAGCGGGCCATTCTGACCTAGTCCTGATCTAATGTTCTTGTGTAACAGCACATTGGTTTGACTTCTTTTCATCTACCCCTCAGTGCCGTTACCATAGCAATGGAAAGATGTGTCACGGCATGTTATAGTCGCTCTCAGGGAGACGAGCTCTGTCTTTCGCAAAAGGAAGAATAGGACTACCTGGAGTTGCATTTACTGGTAGAAAAGTAGACAGTGAAAGGACAGAGTGTCTGCAGAAACACAGACACAAGATAGATTAGTTTTGTGACCTCTGACAATTTAAATTACTTTAAAATAACCGTGACTAACTTGTGCAGCTTTAACACATTTCTATCAGCATATGTAGTTTATCTCACGATGCAAATGCAGATTTTCACATTGTGTCATCTAGTACTCTTATGGCAGACATGGCTTTTTGTTTGCTTCTGTGTTCCTCAAGAGCAAATAACAGGGGTCGCTATTGACGGAGAATGACAGGTATTTAAAAAGTATCCGTGCAAGCTTTGTTAATGAATAGTTCACCCAAAAATTTAAATTCTGTCATCATTTACTCAAGTTATTCCAAACATTTATGAATTTTGCTGAACACAAAAGAAGATATTGTAAAGAATGTATAACCAAACAGTTGCTGGTCCTAATGTCAGTATTTTTCCCATACTACAGAAGTCATATGGGTCCAAAAAAACTGTAATGCAGCTTTTCACTTCACAAGATGTCAGTTGATGGACAGGTGTTGTGTGGATTACTTTTGGATTATTGTGATGTTTTTAGCAGCTGTTTGGACTCTCATTCTGACGGCACCCATTCACTGCAGCGGGTCCATTGGAAAGTAAGTGATATAATGCTTAATTTCTCCAAATCTGTTCTAATGAACAAAAAAACGAATCTATCCATCTTAGATGGCCTGAGGGCAAGTCAATTTTCATTTTTGGGTAAACTATTTCTTTAACACTATCCAACAGTCTGCATGGACTAAATTATATCATCAACATGGGAAAGTCGTTTCAGAAACGGAGCAAGCTATATTTTCATCAAGGGTTAAACAAACATTTTTCTTTTGAACAACATTCACAGATGAACTGTCCACAATAATGTCCTAATGGTAATCACCTAGAGTAGGTGATGCAGTTGTTTGTAATTTAAAGTATATAACAGAGATTTCTGTTTTCATTTGTAAGTACAGATGTTAGTGGCAAACATGGCTTTTTGTTTGCCTGTATGTCCATCAAGAGGAAATAATGGTCTCTATTGACCGAGAATGACACTGACATGGCCACATGGCTGAAAAATATCCATGTTTTCATACCTTTTCTGATTGGCCCATTATCACTGAAGCCCTCGGCCAAACAACATCAAGCAAAGGCATTCCTCGTGACAATGAGAGTATGCTGGGAAGGTTTTGTTTACCCGAAGAGACAAAATTCTCCATGTTTATCTATCCAATCCGAGTCTGAGTCATCTGTCTCCCATGTGTCTTCCGAGTCTTCCTGAGAGCTGATCTCCATTCCAAGGGGAATCTGGCTGTAGACGTTTTAAATCAGGAACCCAATTAAAAGCACTGCAGCTGACTGCTGGGACTCCTCTAGATTATTCATAGGATGTGGCAGAATGCGTAATACTCTACTGTTCTTCACATCTCGCTGTGTGCACTCAAGGAAGCACAGCTCAGCTTTAATTAGTCAGTGACAATAATCAGACATCATGCACAGGGGAAGCCTTTACCTGTGTTGAATAAACTGAATAAGGGAGATTTGGCTCTTACAGTGATACTGTGCAGATGAGTCAATATAGTGTCATATAGTGTTTTTTGTTAGATAAACAATGTAAGGATATGAAAACACAGATATAGTCTTTGTCTGTTACAGATGTCTTTAACACAAACTCATGAATATTATTTTTGCAGTGTGACAATAATTCATATTTCTGTCCAGTGATTCTGGTGTTCATGTAATTAATGTCACAAAATGACCATCTTAATAACTGAATGACTAATTGAGTCATGTCCGGTATACAATGCCTGTATTCTTAGAGGCAGTGCCCTCTATAACATAATAATAATAAATTCAGTTGAATCTGCTATTTTTCTCATTGATACTAAAAATATAAGAAAATACACAAATAAATTTAATTTGCATCCCTAACTAGACTTATAACCCATTTATCTTGCCAAATTTTCTTAGATGCACCCAATATCAGTGATTTGGAAGGGTAAAAGCCGTTATGATGATGCTGTATAACAGCTCTGAAGTATTAATATGCCACATGTAACCTTGTTTGTAACTTTTAAAATACTCTGGTTTTGCTTAGACTCTTGAATTTATTAACTCTGATTCAAATGTGTGAATTTTTTAAGTATCCCTTCATTCCTCAAGTGCAGTTGTAGTCACAATAGTTTTGCTTTGTGTCAGTGAATCTGATTTGAGGGCACAACACAAATGACCTTAGTGCATGTGTTGTCTTTCAGTGTGCACCACCACGCTGCTGATTAAAACAACCCCAAACTGTCAGAAAGGCCAGAAAGGATGACCTTTCCTTTAACATGCTATTTGAAACCTTTAAAATACAAAATGCATGCCAAAAGTACAGTACATAGTTATATTAATAATTAGGATTTAGGCCTATATTTATTTCTAACATCTAAACTTGACCTTAAAACATGCAGTATGTTTTTATATTTGCATTACTTCTGGCTGATAAAGTGACTCCACGC